TCCCTCAACGTATAAGCACTTAATATTATTAATGTTTAAATTTTGCTAAAAGTAATATTTTGTTATTGTTTGAATTTGCTTTTTCCTGCTTACTTGTGAGGCTAAGCATCTTCTTTTCATGTTTCTTGGCCATTTGTATTTCTTCTATAAATTAATTACCTATGTTTTTTGCTCATTTTCCTTTTTTTAATAATTAGGATTAGAGGAAATTCTATTTGCAATATATGACTGGCTGGATTCTGGACTGATCTCTCTGAGTAAAAATGCTGGTTAAAATATGGTGCAAATTATCTTGAAAGCATAGAAAAGGTGGCTGGAGAACAAGAATTTATTTGGTTAAAATCTAAGAGAAGACAGGAATTTAGACAGGAAAGCAGAACAAAGAAGCTGCCTTTAGGTGAGGGCATTTGTTGAATCTGGCAAACTTGAGCTTCAACTGCTACAGCCTGTATATTTGACAGAATGATGGAGAGGAATTGAATAAAAGATGTCCCTAAAAAGCTGGGCCCCCAAGCCTGCACGGAGGAGATTTAATGCTGTGAGGGAGTCAACTTCTCCAAGTTAGACTATAAATTCAATGCCACTCCTCTCAAGATGGCAGCAAAATTTAAAAAAGAATTTAATAAGCTTATTTGCAATTTTATATAAAAGAGTAAAAATCCATTTTGAAAATGAAGATCAAATATGAAGAATTGACCCTATCAGGTAGTCAGACAGACTACAAAGCTAGAGTAATAAAATCATTGTATCATTGGCACAGGAGCCATTTAGTAAAATGGATGGAACATAAAATGAGAGTTTGAGGTCTCCATGTGATAACATGAGATCACAAATCAGAGGAGAAAGAATTGTTTAAAAGTTTGTCTAACTAAATGGAGAAAAAGAAAGTTGGACTCCTTCCTCACACCATGTATAAATGTTAATTCCAGATGAACTAAAGACTAAATATTAAAACTAGAAATGCAAAATTAATAAAAGAAATTAAGATCTTTATGACCTGGGAGCGGGAAAATCTTCGTAAACAAGACATAAAGTATGAAATAAAAAAAAAAAAAAGTACAAATTATAAGGAGAAATTTTGATGAGTTTAACCACATCAAGATCCAGGGTTAAGGACAGAGTAGAACTATCCCCTAGAATACTTCTAAAGATTTCCAAGGTGAAATCTTTACAGAGCAGCCTCCCTCATCTTTCTTCCGCTGAGTGGCTGGTGAGTTTGAAACACTGACCTTTTGGTTAGCAGCCCAATGTTTTAAGCACAGTGCCATCACAGCTCTCAATGAGGGTTACCATAGACAAAGTTAATAGATACGTTGACAGTATAGTTGCCACAACTAAAACTGAGAGTGGGTTTATTTGCTAGGAAATTAGAATGAACTGCTGAAAAATCAGTAAGAAAAAGAGGAAAATCCATTAGAACATTGGGCAAAGGCTACGAATAGACAATTCACAGAAGGGGGAACAAGAATGACTACTGGATACTTAGAAAAATGCTCACCTTGTTGATAACAGAACACTCCACTGTAAAATAGTGATATCACTTGATAGTACCATCATATTAGCAAAAATTAGAAGGCTGTATAATCACAGGTGTTGGCAAGGATGTAGGGAAATCTTATGCACAGCTTTGGACTTCATTTGGGGTACACTGCAAAATAGAGAACAATGTGATAGTTTCTAATCAATAACCCCTATGACTCAGTTATCCCAGAGATGATCTTTCACAGGTCCATAAGCAGATATGTATAAGGATATACTTACTGACGGGAAGTTGGAAGCAACTCCAACTCCCAGGTGACCATCCCTGGGAGAATGGATGAGTGAAATGTGGTGGCTGCAGTATGAAATTATATGCAGCAGTTAGAAAAAAAAATGTACTAGATTATGTGCCAGACATTGGTGCTGACTAGCTGGCACAGTCCCTGTCCACAACTCCCCTTCTCTCTAGTCGCCTTTCAGCTAGGAATGACCATGTAACATGTTGGTGGCCAATGAAATGAAAATAGAAGTCTGACGAGTTGGGCGCCTAGGAAATCTTTACTTTCTTGATCAAAAATGCAGACCGTATCTTTTTACCTCTTTCTTTCTTCTCCCTTCTTCCTGGAAAATGGATGTGATGGCTGGAGGTACAGCAGCCATCTTTGTAACCATCTGGAAAAGTCAAGAGCCTTGTAGAGAAGACCCCAACATCATCAACTTGTTGAACCAATACCAACAGTCCTCGACTCGTGATGTTCATAACTTGTGTGAAAAATAAGCCCCTTGAGTCGGTCAATGGCAGATAACAGTAATAGATCTGGCTAGTTTAAACAGAAAGGGATGAAGAAGCAGGCTCTAGGTCCAGGAACAGCTCCCAGCTTTGAGAATCACATGACTTCTGCTTGTGAGTGGGAAAACAGCAGTCACTTCTACAGCAAGCTAATGAATCATAAAGCTGCTTACCACTGAGCCTTATTGCTTTTGTCTTGGTCTGTGACAGCAAAACGGATGTTCCATGATAGTTAACTTTGTTCCAAATTTATGTCTTGCACAAGAACATCTGTGTGGCAGAACCTAAATTACAGATTCCCAGCCCAAGGGAAGCTGGGATTCATAGTTTTAGCTTTCCAGCTCCCACAGTTCAGGAGAAGCACTAAAGGGAGTTTTGGATTGAGGTTAAGCAGCCAGTCCATGGGCCTCAGCTTTTGCTTATGCACTCCTAACTGTTACAATGTACACAAAGCAACAGGGCTTGAGCAGGAAAGCAAACAGAATGAGCAGAGAGCACTACTTGTAAGAGGTAAGCAGGGTGGCTCAGTGGTAGAATTCCTGTCTACCTTGTGGGCCACCCAGGTTTGATTCCCAGCCAACGCGCCTCATGCAAAGCCTCTCCCGTCTGTCAGTGGGGGCTTGCATGTTGTGATGATTAACAGGTTTCCATCCCAGCTCCCTGACTAAAGGCTTGCCATGAGTCAGGGGTGACTTGACAGGAGCTAAGATGAAACAAATACACAAATCAACACTACATTTCTCAACCAGATGTACATTTTTGCAAGGACTTTCAGGTGCCACTTGGTAAAGGAAGGGAGGAGAATGGAGTGTGAGCCTCAGGAATGAAAGAGAAAAACTAAATAAAGAAAAATGAAGTGAGAGTTCGAATATAGTCTGAAGGAGCTCTGATTACACAGTGACTAAGGCAACTGACTGCTACCAGAAGGTTGGTGGTTTGAACCCACCAGCCACTCCGCGGAAGCAAGACTGGGAAATCTACTTCCGTAAAGATTTACCACCTCGGAAACCCAATGGAGTTTGCTATGAGTCGGAATCGACTTGATGGCAGTGAGTTTGGTCTTGGTCTTAATATAGTCTGATGGAGGAGGATATGATTGACTCAGTCCACAAGCTGGGAAAGGGCTATGGCTTGGCTTCTTTTGGGGTACTCAGACCGGTGCAAGTGGTCTCTCAAGAAGGCTGACTCACATTCAGCGCTCCATGGGGCTGTAAATCTTTATGGAAGGCCAATGCATAGCGACCAATGGGTTTCCAAGGCAGTAAATCTTAATTTTTATGGAAGTAGAATGCCTCATCTTCCTCCCTGGAAGTAGTTTGAACCGCCAGCCTTCTGGTTAGCAGCCAAATGCCTTACCCGCGACACCCCTAGAGCTCCTTTGTGAGAGCACTGAAAACAAACAAAGAAAAACCTCACTGCTGTGGAGTCGATTCCATTTATAGCAACCCCTCTTTGGGTTTCCAAGGCAGTATCTCTACGGAGCTCTGGTGGCATAGTGCTTAAGGCATTTGACTGTGACTGGGAGCTCTGGTAGCATAGTGCCTAAGGCACTTGACTGCTAACCAGAAGGCTGGCAGTTCAAACCCACCAGCCACTCCTTGTAAGTAAGGTTGGGCAATCTATCTCCATAGAGATACCTCCTCAGATACCCAAGGAGGGTGTTACGATGAGTCGGGTTTGAGTGGACTGCAGTGTGTTTGCTTTTTTTTTTTTTAATCTCTATGGAAGTAGATTGCCCAGTCTTCCTTCCAAGGAGTGGCTGGTGGGTTTGAACCGCCAGCCTTCCGGTTAGCAGTCAAATGCCTTTGGCACTACGCCACCATTGGTCTAGGGGAGTGAGAAGTCACTCAGTCCGAGGCGCCGCGGGAGGGACCTAACTCTGTCCCGCCCACTCTGGGCTGGATCTTGGCGGGTCTGCGTCAGCTCCTGAGAGGAGGGCACCGCCTACGCCCCTCCCCCTCATCCCTTTCTATCCTGGCTTGATCCAGCTCAGCTCAGAGGTGTAGCAGCGCTTTCCTAAGTCCACCATCTGTTACCTGCAGTTCTTCCTGGGGGAGAGGAGCCCACTTGGGCCACTCCGGAGACCTGGTGAGTGTGCTCCAAGGGGGTTGGGGGTTGCTGGGAGACCAGGCGGTGGCCCAGCAAGGAGTGCTTCATAGGGACCCTCCAGGCCCCGGGTAGGGTCCACCGGGGAAGAGAAATCTCGTGGGTTCCTGACTCACAGAGTGAACTTCCCCTGCCTTCTTAAGGCTCCTGCCACTCAGCTCCCTGCAGTTTGTCCCCACCATGGTGGAGGGGAAGAGACACCCCACCAGGAAAAGACTTGCCCTGGGGCAAAACCCCCCAAAATCCAAACCTGTTGCTGTCCAGTCGTTTTGGTTCACACCTGAGTGCTTTAACCACTGTGCCATTAGGAATCCCTCAAGGACCTCCCCACCCCAAAAAAATTCAACAAATTCAAACCCACTGCCCTCCAGTCAATCCAGACTCATAGATACCCTATAGGACAGAGTAGAACTGCTCCATAGAGTTTCCAAGGTTGTAAGCAGACTGTCACATCTTTCTCCTGCAGAGTGAGTGGCCGGTGGGTTCCAGCAACCAACCTTTTGGTTACTGGCTGAGCACTTAACCACTGTGCCACCAGGGCTCCTGAAGCAAAGGACTGCACTATTGGCAGCTGCCAGGACCTGTCCCTAGGACCAGGGAGACAACCCTCTATTCTGCATTATAGATGCTGGCTTCCTGAGGAGGGGGGCACAAACCTTCTCACCCCCAGGCTGGAAGAGGAAGAGCATCCCTTGTGGAGAGGAAGGGAGAGCTGGCAGCGTCTGAGGCACTGAACTGCCCCGACAATGAGACCCATGCCCCAAGCTGCAGTCTGGGGGCCCTGTACTGGGCCTGTGCTCGAAATGACCCTGCCCAGCTCCAGTCCCTGCTGGATGGTGGGGTCTCCCCAGAGGAGGCCACCCAAGTGGACAGCAATGGGAGGGTGAGATACCTCCTGCATTTCCCAGGACAGCTGGGTGCATCTCTGTGTCCCTACTATGCCATCCTGGTCTGACTCCCTGGGAGAGTTCCAAGGTCGACACCCACTGCTGGGCCCTTGGTGGAAGGGAGTGGGTAAGGGTGGGTTTTCACAGGGACTGGAACAGATGTGGGCTTGGAGGGCACAGGGCACCCCAGGGAGATGATAGGAGCAAGCACAGGAGCTAAGCTTCCCCCTCCCTCAGACAGGCCTCATGGTCGCCTGCTACCATGGCTTCGGGAGTATTGTGGCCCTGCTCAACCACTGTCCTTTCCTTGATGTGAACCAGCAAGACAGAGAAGGGGACACGGCCCTCATGCTAGCTGCCCAAGCAGGTATAAGGCTGCTGACCCCATCACTGTATCCCACCAAGGCCACAGCCTCATGCCCTGTGCATGATGCTCTCCCACACCGGGTTCTGCCATTTCCAGGGGAGTCATGACCTACTCTTGGTGCCCTGCAGGCCATGTGCCCCTGGTGAGTCTTCTGCTCAACTACTATGCAGGCCTGGACCTGGAGCGCCGGGACCAGCGGGGGCTCACGGCTCTGATGAAGGCTGCCATGCGAGATCGCTCAGAGTGCGTGGCTGCCCTCCTCATGGCAGGTGTGTGGGGCCTGGCCCGGGATGGATGTGTGACCTCCAGACCCTCCTCTGGATAGGTCAGTTGCAGAGAGATGAGGGGAGGAGATGGAGGATCATGCGCCAATCTAGGTTGACAACCTGGAGGAGGGGAGTGTGCTTTGGACTTCTCACAATCAACAAAGTCCAAGCACTGAGAGCTTGATTTACGTAGCAAATGGCATCCCGGGAAGGAAAGCTTGGGAGGACAACCTTGACCAGCTAGGATACCTAAAACAAAAAGGGCTGGTATCTGGAAGCAGACTCTCCGGTTCTAGTCTTGCCCTTGCCAAGTCTGGGCAGATGGCTTCCTTCACTGGGCCTTACTAGGGTCACGAAGATGTTGACCTGTTCAGGGATGATTTCCAGCTCTGATGAGTCAGGGCTCTAGGGGACATAGTGATACATAGTTGAGGTGTGTGACCTTGTGGAATTCTGGGACAAGGTCCACACTGTCCACAGAGTTGTGGGCATTCATTATTCTCTGAGGTGGGGCCACCCTCAGCTATTCAGTCTGGGAGACCCCCCTCCTCCAGCTTTTCCCTACCCCACCCCACCAGACTGGGTTTGGGTGAGAAGAGAGGAGCTCCACACCCTCTCCTTTGGCTCAGTGACCACTCCCCAAAATTAGAGGGGTGTAATGATGAGAACTAGGAAAGGGAGCCCATGAAACCATCTACCCAGAGGGCACAACCTGGACCTCCCCCGTCCCAGGTGACCCTCACATTACTCCTCAGGTCAGTTCCTGGGATTCAGGAGGCCTCTACTTGGCTCCAGGTTTGGAGACCCCCGAAGGGTCTCTCTGAAGTCTTTTACCCTCTCGGGGCTTCAGTTTCTTCACCTCTTAAATGGGAGATTATAGTACTGGCCTCCTGGATTCCAGCTTCAACAGGATGGGACTCTAGGATTGTGAATCTACCCTTAACTCACTCCTGCTCTAAAATACCTGACCTTCCACACATCACCAATCCCCATCCCACCCTGCACCCCTTCTCAGGTGCTGACCTGGAAGCGGTGGACCCCGCCAGGGGCAAGACGGCCCTGGAGTGGGCGGTGCTGACCGACAGCTTCACCACAGTGCAGAGGATCCGGCAGCTGCTACGGCGGCCCCGAGCTGAGCAGCTCAGCCAGCACTACCAGCCTGAGTGGCCAGCCTTGTCTGGGCTGGTGGCTCAGGCCCAGACCACGCCATCCCTGCTAGAGAGACTGCAGGCCACCCTGAGCCTCCCCTTCTCCCAGTCTCCTCAGGAGGGGGGCGTCCTGGACCACCTCGTGACCGTCACAACCAGTCTGGCCAGTCCCTTCCTCACCACTGCCTGCTGCACCCTATGCCCTGATCGTCCACCTGCACTGGGCACCCGAAACGTGTCTGTGCCAGAGCTGCTAGGCACAGTCCCGGTCCCGCCCCTGACCCCCAAATCCTCCCCAGTAGTCCCTAATGCCAGCGTCCTCCTCATCCCCTATCAGAGCCCTCAGGGTATGTTGAGCCTGTGCCCTCACTGGCTACAGCCCAGGGACAGTACCAGCCCCAAACCCCAAGCCCCCAGAATCCTCCTCTCCAAGGCACCCAAGTCCCCCAGACAGCATAAGCAGGAGCCCAAGCCTGCTGAACGTAGTCTGGCCCTTCCTATCTGGCGATACCAGGAGCTCAGGAGGGAGAGGCGGAAGCAGGAGGAGGAGGCCAGGTGTGCACAGAGCCTGGGAAAGATGGGCTAGGCTGGGCTGGGAGCAGGTCCTCAGGCTAGAGCATCCTTCTGCCTTCCCACCCACCTCTACCTGAACAAATCTGGTTATTCATCACCACATTGCTTGCAACAGTAAAGGAGTGAAGCAGCCTGAATGTCCAAAAAGAGCCTGGCTGGACTGATTAAGGAAGCGCTTTATGTTCTGATACGAACCTCTCTTCAACACGTATTAAGAGAAAATAACCAAGGGGTGGAAAAGTGTGTGTGATAGGCGACTACTTCTCAGAGGATAATTTTCAAAAAGATAAAACATGAGTAATAGAAATCTGGAGTGAGTGCCTAGATTGATTTAACTACTTAAAGGAGGGAACCAGCAGGAGGGATCAGAAGGAAATGGGAAACTGTGTTTACAGTCAGTGCAAAAAAGAATACTAGAAAAAAATTGCAAAATTAGATGCAAAAAAGTTAATTGCTACCTAGCAATAAAACCATAGTGGTTTCTTTTTCTACCAGATAAAAATATTATGCAACGTTTGTGGTAAATTGTAGTCAATGTCAGGAGACAAAGTGTATATGAGCTGCTGTATGGAAAGTGAATTTGCTCTGTAAACTTTCACCCAAATCAAAATAAAAAAAAATAATAATATGCGATGTATCAATCTACAAATTAATGTCTTACCTTATAAAGTCTGGCCCCTAATAGTAAGTAGTATGTTACCTTCCCCTAGATTATTAGCCAATGACAACTATTTTTGCTTTGTTTATAAATTTTAGATATTTTTTCTAAATACATATGTTACATAAACATATTTGCTTTTATATTCACAAATAAGAATAGCATCTACTTCTAAGGTGCTTCCTGTATATGTTAACAACATTTAACCCTCCCAGTAATCCTATGAGGATTTTATCTCTGATGACATGAGGCACAGACAGGTTAAGGAATTGCCCAGTGTCACACAACTAGCAAGCAGCAGAGATCAAGATCATGAGGTAGAGATCCAGTTGTGGAGTCTAGGCTCTTAACACTGGTAGCCATCCAATTGTGGAGTCCAGCCTCCTGACACTAAGCATCTTGCTACAATGGAATATCCCTGGAAAGAAACACAATAGTTTTCTCAGGAAGAGGACTGAGCGGCTGACTGATAGTGGTGGGAGGGAGACTTTTTACTAAATCTCTTTTTGAACATTTTAACTTTAAAAAAAATAAAATTTTATTTTTTTGGAATAGTTCTAAATTTACAGAAAAAATTGTGAAGTTAACGGTTCAGAGAGTTCCCGTATACCCCCTACCAAGTTTCCCCATTAAAAACATCTTATGTTAATTAGTATAATACATTTATTACAACTAATGAACCAATATTAATACATTATTATCAACTAAACAACAACTAAAACTCCAGTACTTTATTCATAGTCCCTTAGTTTTGATCCTGTGTCCCTTCTCTCTTGTGGGATCCCGTTCAGGAAGTTAGTTCTCAAGTCTCCTTAGGCTCCTCTTGACTGTGAGTTTCTCAGACGTTCCTCGTTGTTGATGACCTTGACAGTTTTGAGGAGGATGGGTCAGGGATTTGTAGAATGTCCCTCAACTGGGATTTATGTGCTGTTTTTCCCATGAGTACACTGTGGTCATGGGGTTTACAAGGAAGCACAGTGCCATTGCATCATATCAAGAGTCCATACTGTCAACGTGGTTTATGATTGGCGAAGTTGACTTTGATCTTCTGACTGAGGTGGTCTCTGTCAGATTTCTCCATTGTAAAATTACCTTTTTTTCCCTTTTAATACTGTATTCTTTGGAAAGAAGTCACACTGTGCACCCTGCATTTAAGGAGTGGGGAGTTAGGCTTCACCTCCTTAAGGTTGGAAAATCTACATAAATTACTTGGAATGCTTCTGCACAGGTGTTTTGATTTTGTAATCATGTATATCTAAATTTTAAAGACAAAATCTGCTATTTGAATAGGAGAACACATACACACACACACATTTAGGTGAACATGACTAATAGGGTTTGATATATACGATTTCTCCCTGAGGACTCTGAAGGCAGAATGGGTTCAAGGCTAACTTTGCCATTTCCTACCTGTATGATCCTGAATAAGTCATGTAAGTTTCTCTTGCCTTAGTTTTCTCATCTGTTAAATGGGAAAAACAGTTTGTGGGAGGATCCATTAGCTCATATGGGTGAAAGGTCCCTGGAAACTGTAAAGGACTATCAAGAGGTGAGGTGTTACTGAAGGGCCCTGGGGAACTAGTTTGACTGAGCAGCTTCAGAGCCTCGGGTGGGGCTAGAGTTCTTTTCTCCTACCCTCTGTGGAAATCAAAATGCACAAAACTAGCCTGTCGCTGAGTACCACAGACAGGGAAAGAAACTTCATCTTGGTGGCTACTCATTTGGGTCTGGGAGTCAACGTGTGACCTTGGGCAAGTCACTTAACCTTTCTGAGCCTCAAAGTTCTCTTGTGTAGAATGGAGGTGATAACAGCACGTTCTCCATAGGGCTGTTGTGAGAACTAAATGAGATAATGTGCAGTTCAGCACTAGCCCTGGCCTCATTCTTACCTTCTTTAATCCCCACAATATTCCAGTTTTACAGGTGAGGAAACTGCAGCTACGAAGGTTAAGTGATTTGCCCAAGGTCACTAGCAAAGTGGAGTTTGGATCCCAGGTCTGTGAGAGCCCCAAAGCCTGTGTTTGTTCCACTATAGCACATGCATCCTGCCCACAGCTCGGGGCTCCCTGGATCCCTGAGCCTCTCTCTTCCACTCCAAACTGGACAAGTGTCCAAAAGTGACCACAGCATCTTCAGGGCTGCAGAACTAGCCCTCTGTGGTTATTTTCCTCAAACCCCTGTCCAGACTGGGGTGGATCTGGTCTGGGAAGGCTCAATGGGCAATAACTCCCAGACCTCAGGTCAGAGACTTTTTCCAGCAGGGGGAGCCTCTCTGTCTTGGACAAGACCCACCTCAGTCCCCAGTCACCTCCAAGGGCACGGAGACTCCTCTCCAGCAATTCCTCATCCCAGGCCAAGCCACTGCTCCCTATTCCTCTAACACCTCCTGACTGTAGACTTCCTTTCTCTTCCTGAAGGCCATTCAGGTTGGTTGGAGGAGAGCGAGGCCTCCCTGGGGCCCTGCTGCTCTGCCTGCGCTTCTCAGGGTCAGCGTTTCCTGGAAGCTCCTGTGGCTTCCAAACTGAGGTTCCTGTCAGAAGAGGCCAAGAGACCCACTGCAAGGCCCCTGTCTGTGCAGAACACAGTCCACAACAAAGTGCCCTGCAAAGACACCCTGCATTTTAGAGTCCCTCAGATGAGGGTTTGAAACCAGGCTTTGCCCTTTATCTATGTGATCAGGGACCTTGCCCAGCCTCAGCCTCCTCATTTGTAACATCAAGTGGTGGTAATATATAATAGCTACTAGTGCCTGAGGAGGCAGCGCTGGTGGCGTAGTGCCTAAGGCATTTGACTGCTCACCAGAAGGCTGGTGGTTCAAACCCACCAGCCACTCTTCGGAAGGAAGACTGGGCAATCTATTTCTGTAGAGATACTGCCTTGGAAACCCAAGGAGGGGTCACTATAAGTAGGAACCAACTGGACGGCAGTGAGTTTGGTTTTTTTTTGGACCCAGGGTGGCTGTGAGGTCTAAGCAGGGCATGATATTTGAGGCACTGAGCACTGCCTGGCCTATGCTCAGTACCCACTTAACAGCAGTCTGTTATTGTGTCTGAGTGGCAGTGGGCAACAAAATGCACAAGGGTACAGCCTGGTCAGTAGATGTGTCTATGGGACCCCATAACGTCCTCTGTGATTTTAAGATACTATTTTGGTGGCCTCTTGAGATGAAAATGAATGCCTGTTCCGGATCAGAACTCCTGCTGACCCTGTGTCTCTCACCCCAGACACATTCCCAGGCCACCCCCATCACTACAGCAAGGTTGACCAACCTGGCCAACTTGGTCCCTGTGTGTGTCACCACCCATCCTGGTAGACGAGGGACCCCCACAGATGGGACTGCATAGTTGGCTGTCCAGATGCACACTGGAACATCCTTCAGGCTCGTTTAGTTACCAGAAGGGACTCCTGGGGAACCCTCCCCTCACTCTGTGTAGGCAGGGACTGTGTCTGTATCCCTAGCCCCTGGCTCAGGACTTGGCCCATACAAGGCTCAATAAATGTGCATAGAAAAGAACTGAGTTCAGGCTCCACCAAGGTATGGGATTCTCAGAGGAGCCTTTATCATCCCCCTCCTCCTCTCAGGGCTGTTCCAGGAGGGGTCGGTCCCCAGTCCCTCAATATTCTAGGGCATGCTCCAGGGTTGCTATATGATTGCTATGCATCAGAATTGACTCAAAGGCAATGAGTTTTGTTTTGTTTTTGCCCTAGCAGACTCTGCTGAGTTTAGAGGAAGCAAGGGAGTATATCAATGTAGGGAGATTAGAAGGACAGGTGGGGACTCACTGGTCTGTGAGGTGCCCTCCTTTCTAGCAGGCAAACTTTCCAAATGGTTGGTCCACTGCATCAACTACCAGACCAACAGCACCCTGCTTCATGCTTCCCCATTCACCTCTCAGGACTTTCTCCTGGCAGATCTCACCTGGCTGCACTGAGAACCCCATCTGGCAAGGTTCATGCAGGAGTTTAAACCTGCTCACTTCTTTTCTCTCAGAGGAACCATGGCTTTTCACAGTTAAGGTGGACACCAGGTCTGAAGGGAGGACTTGAAGACAGGGCCTGGGCTCCATCAACCTCTATTCCGAACTCCTGAACTCTGTGGATGCTGCTCCAGATGTTAGATTCAGAAGCCTTGACCACACAGTCACATACAAGCAGTGTCATGTGTAGGACCCAGGGTCCTACAGGGATCTTCAGCCTCTGGCATAGAGGGATACATAGGCCCTTTGACACATGAACTTCCAACTGCACACAGAGATGTCACACATGCCAACACACATAAACATACCTGCTACATAGGTACACAAATGCATAGACTTACTGACAAAGGAAAAGACAAGAACAAAGTCCCCCTCTCC